AGAGAAAAACCATAAAGGTTGGCTATAGCTAAAAAAAAGCATCATAACTAATTTCATAATATACTATTTACAAGTTAGTCCATGATTCTCAAAGTAAACTTTTGAGGTGGATATATTATTCTATATTTTACAAATGAGGAAAGCAAGTTTTAGGAAAATGAATGACTTGGTACAAACAAAAATGTTGCCAGGCAAGACCTGAACCTTGGTTTCCTGACTCCAAAATCAGTGCTCCTTAGTCATCATAACAGCCTCAATGCAGAGTCACAAAAATTAAAAATCGGTTTAAAGTGGAATAAAACAGTGAAATATCCAGGCTCTTATTTTTTCTCTTTTAAATCACTTATATCCTCAGCAATGATAATTTTAAGAAGTTGTATTTGGTACACTACCAAGTCTTATGTGGAATGTAATCTTTCTTAAGAGGAGTGGTTAAAGGGGCAATTATGAATCAAAGAGGTTTATCACGAGAGTGAAGTATATCTGGTAAATATTGGGAATCCTGGTCACAATAAAAAGTCAATGGTCTCACGAGCACCAGGTGCTCATCCTCAGTGATACTGTTGCTGATGCGGATGTGTTACGGCAGGACTGAGCTCCTCTTACAAGGCAAGCTGCCAAACCCTCTCTGCAGGGACAAGTCTGCCAATTGCTGTACAAACAAATCTTCAAAGATGAAATAAAACCCTCTTGGTGTCTATGGGAATATTGTTTAGACACAAATCAAATATTTAGTGATTCAGTCGGAACAGCTTATCAGCACTGGCCTAGGAGGAATCATAATTAACATAACTGAATGTGGGGATTCCTCACAGAAAGTGATAGGGATAAGGACTCTGAATTTTGCCCTCCTACCGCATCAGTCAAAAAAAGATCTTGTGAGTAACTGATGGTCACTTCCAATGACAACTGCCTATCAGCCATATCACTGAAAAATCCAAACTGAAAAGTAGCACCTTTACTTCCTGGTAAGTGCAGAAATGAATGGCAGTATTAAGATCCTCAAGAAGGAAAACTCCTTTGGAGTATCGATTCTGGCCATCTGGAATATTCAGATATGGCCAGACTCTGAGATAGATCTGATGCACTGAACAGAAGCAGAAGGAAGAGAAAGGCAGGTAAACATACTCCACAATCTCTTTGAATAGAGTAGTTGAGGACTGAGCCCTGAGTCCAACAGACCAAGAGTCAGGTTCCATCACTAACTAGTTGCATGACCTTAAGCAGAAGAGGTCAGTTCATCTCTCTGAGGGTTAGTTTACTTATCCTCAAAATAACAATAATGATAGCTACTTCGTAAGTATTGTTAAATGAGCTAACGTATACAGTATAATTTGTACAACACCTGTGATACAGCATTAATAAGTGGTATCCAATATTAGCTATTACAATATTACTATTATTAGGCTTCAAAGGAAGTTATCAGTATTAAAATTAAGATTAAGTTTTATAAACTAAATTCATAGGGTTTTTCATTCTATTAACTGCCCTTGTTATTCTGCAAATGATAGTGGCTCTAATCTAAACAATATTGTTGTGAGATTCATAAGATGATGATAAATTATCTTCTGATGTTAGTTAATGTAGGGGAGCAATCTGGCTACATGGTATTTATAATATAATAGTAAAGGTCAAAGGAAACCCAGCCAAATTTAGCCAGTGTGCCAGTGTGCCCCACCCCTGGTATGAAACAGGGTATCAAACAAAGTAGTTAATTGCAATTGGTTTATTCTTTTTTTTTTTTTTTGAGAGAGAGAGAGAGAGAAAACACAAGAGGGGGGAGGGGCAGAGGGAGAGGGAAAGACAGACACATAAGCAGGCTCCATGCCCAGCACGGAGCCCAAAGGGGTTTGATCTCACCACCCTGGGATCGTGACCTGAGCCAAAACCAAGAGTCAGGTGCTTAACTGACCGAGTCACCCAGGTGTACCACTGTTGGTTTATTCTTACAGGAGAACTTAGCCTGAGTCCACTGGTTTTATAGCCAAGCACAGACTTCACCAGCTCACTGTCCAATGAATGCCATTGGTTTTATGGCCCATAGAAGACGGCTTAATGAGCATGCCTATCTACACACCTACTAAAGGGGTGTTACACATTATGCTGCTGGTCCGACATAAAGTGAATATCCACCCAGTTCATGAAATTAGGCCAATCTATCTTTATTGTCCTGACGTTGTTGGCTATCTTTCCTGAAATAAAGAACTTTAAATTAATTATTAATTTTGGTAGATAGGCCTATAAAAAAATTCTACTTCCAGTAAATAAAGGAACAGGAAGCAATTTTATCAAGGCATCATGGGAAAAAAGAGAATGGGAACTAAGTTAATTATTAGCCCATTAAGTTCAATAATGAGTCAGCTGCTATTAATAATACTGCTACTCTCTCATTTCCCAAATTCAAAACTTAGAGTATTCGAGGTCTCTCCCTCCCCAAGTGCCATGCATTCAGGCCATGAACAGCTCACGTTTTTTACAATAATGCACTCTGCAGCATATTTCTACTAATGAGCTCAGCAAAATACCTCCGCAATCCTATCACTCAAAAGGAAGAAACAGACCCAGAGAGGTGGACTTGCTTAAGGTTACAGAGAAATCACTGAAACAACTAGGACCAGAATCCTGATTTGTTCCTTGGATCATCGGTTTTTCCACTCTCCTGCTGTTTCCATTAATTTTACTTTCAGGGTGCCTGGGTGGCTCAGATGGTTATGCGTCTGCCTTTGGCTCAGGTCCTGATCCCGACGTCCTGGGATCAAGCCCCGCATCGGGCTCCCTGCTCAGCGGGGAGCCTGCTTCTCCCTCTGCCTCTGTCTCTCTCTCTCTCTCCCTCTCTCTGTCTCTCATGAATAAATAAATAAAATCTTTTTAAAAAAAATTTTTACTTTCACAACAGGTTTCACATTTGTCCCCTCTGTTTCAACTTCCTCTTCCTTAGATGTGGCTCTTAATTGCTCCGCTAATACTCTCCTAACTGGTGTCTCTAATTTCATTCTTTGCAGTCGTGCTCTCTACTGCTGCCAGCCTCATGCCTCTGCGATACAGTTCTTACCATACCCAACCCTCTGCTCCACATTTTCAAAGGCCACTCTTACAAAACCTTGTCTAAATGCCTTAGTGTTATGATCTGAATGCATCCACCCCAAATTTATATATTGAAATTCTAAACCCCAAAGTTGGTGATATTAGGAGGTGGGACCTTTGGGAGGTGGAGCCCTCATGAACAGGATCAGTGTTCTTTTAAAAAAGACCCCAGAAGAAGATATTTGCAAATGACACTACAGATAAAGGGCTGGTATCCAAGATCTATAAAGAACTTCTCGAACTCAACACCCACAAAACAAATAATCAAGTCAAAAAGTGGGCAGAAGACATGAAAAGACACTTCTCTGAAGAAGACATACAAATGGCTAACAGACACATGAAAAAATGTTTATCATCGTTAGCCATCAGGGAAATTCAAATCAAAACCACACTGAGATACCACCTTACACCAGTTAGAATGGCAAAAATGGACAGGAAAAGAAACAACAAATGTTGGAGAGGTTGTGGAGAAAGGGGAACCCTCTTACACTGTTGGGGGGAATGCAAGCTGGTACAGCCATTTTGGAAAACAGTGTGGAGGTGCCTCAAAAAATTAAAAATAGAGCTACCCTATGACCCAGCAATTGCACTCCTGGGTATTTACCCCAAAGACACAGATGTAGTGAAAAGAAGGGCCATATGCACCCCAATGTTCATAGCACCAATGTCCACAAAGGCCAAACTGTAGAAAGAGCCGAGATGCCCTTCAACAGATGCATGGATAAAGAAGATGTGGTCCATATATACAATGGAATATTACTGAGCCATCAGAAAGGATGAATACCCAACTTTTACATCAACATGGATGGGACTGGAGGAGATTATGCTAAGTGAAATAAGTCAAGCAGAGAAAGTCAGTTATCATATGGTTTCACTTATGTGTGGAACATAAGGAATAGCATGGAGGACATTAGGAGAAGAAAGGGAAAAACGAAAGGGGGGAATCGGAGGGAGAGATGAACCATGAGAGACTATGGACTCTGAGAAACAAACAGGGTTTTAGAGGGGAGGGGGGATGGGTTAGCCTGGTGATGGGTATTAAGGAGGGCACGTACTGCATGGAGCACTGGGTGTTATATGAAAACAATGGATCGTGGATCACCACGTCAAAAACTAATGATGTATGATATGGTGAGTAACATAACATAATAAAATTTAAAAAATTAAAAAAAAGAAAAAAGAAATAAATAAAAAAGACCCCAGAGAGATCTCTCACACCTTCCACCTCGGGAGAACACAGCAAGAAGTCACCAGCTGTGGCCCAGGAAGAGGGCTCTCACCAGAATTTGTCACGCTGACACTTTGATCTTGGACTATCTAGCCTCCAAAACTGCAAGAAATACGTTTCTGTTATTTGGAAGCTACCCTGGTCTTTGGTGTTTTGTTATAGTAACCCGAATGGACTAAGACATTTAGCTTGGCATTCGTAGCTTGTTGTGATCTACGCAAATCAAATTCCTGCTCCGATATGCATGCATTCATTCATTCAGTAATTCAACAGATATTTACTGAGTTCCTATAGCACACAAGGCATTTTGTCAGATAATGCCAAAATGAATAAGATTCAGTCTGGTCATATTCATCCAGAAGCTGATTATCTAATAGCTTTCCTTAATTACATATGAAAGCAAAAATGTTCTACAGGGGCAAATTTGATTGTATTACAGGGGTTTTGTCAGAAAAAAAGTTAAGAAACATGTAGACAAATATTTATACTCTAAACACTTGATGCCTAATTTACATAGGATGGAATCAGATTCAAATGGTACATCAGTGATCTATGAATTACTTAACTATTTACCCAAGTTCAAGAAACTGCCTTTTATGTCTTATGGTCTTGATAAACCCCACAGATCTACTAAATACCCTTTAAATAGAAAGAGAGATTAAACGTTATCATTTCAGCAATAGCTTACCAGGAACTAGAACGTTGTCTGTGTTTCTTTGGGACCGGCCTATCAGGACAGTGGTAAGATTCACTGCTGGTTTTTTAAGTGAACTGGGTTTCTTCGGCACTGGTTTTATTTGCTTCTGAGACTTGACAACACTGGCAAGACCACCAGACAGTGTTCGATTTATATACCAAGTTAAATTAGATATGGCAATTTGAGTTTTTATTTCAATTATTGATTCCACAAATTCTGTCAGACCTTTCTGAAGAAGCTGCATATCAGGTAGGGAACTTTCTATCTGCTGGGGTATGGTTGCATTCAGTTCTGAGATACGTGTAGAAGCATTATGACACATGATTAAAACATCAGACAGAGTTTTGTTAAGTGAAGTGAAGTGAACTGAGAGGTGAATGGATTTTGCTTCCAGCGCCTTAAATCTGGAAGTTAGTACCTGCAGTTGAAGAGCCTGGTCTCTCTCATTTGTAGTCGCACTGCCTTTTTTTAGTGAAACATAATAAGGTATGAGTGTCTTGGTCACTTCAGTCTCAATACCTTGCAACCTAGTTTCAAAATTTTTGGAAATCTTTGTGGCTGAGAGTATATTTTCCTCCAAATAACTCATATTTTGCTGGTATTTTATCAGTTGGGAAGTGGTTTCATTGAACATTTGATAAATCTTTTGAAAGCTGGACTGACTTAGTTTTTCATCCTTAGTAATATCTGCAAGGACCTTGGCAACTTGCAAAATAAAGTTGTATCTCTGATTGTCATTGACCAACATCTGAATGGAATCATTCAAGTGTTGGAATTGAGAAATAAATGTCAAAACAGTTTCCATATTTTGGGTACATTGATGATGGACTTCGGGATTATACTTTATTGTACTTAAAGTCTCTTTTAGCACGTAGTTATCGTGAATGAAATCAACGGCATTATTTATAATAGTCATTGTCTTATTTAGGCCATCTTCCATTTCTAAGGCATATTCATTGATACGTCTGTCCAAGGCATCACTACGACTCTGTACTTCATTCCTAAGTGAGTTATGTCTTTTTGAAAGTTCTTTGATAAGAATACTTAGACTGTTGACAGCACTAGTCAGGTTTTCCACTTTTTTCCTTGTAGCTATTGCTTCTTTTGGTGGTTCTCGTATCATTGTCTCTTTAAATGGTGCAGCCTGCTCAAGCAAGGGTTGAAGGATCTCCATATCATAAGTCAAGTCATTTAGCTGCTCATTCATTTTATCCATCTTATTGTCCATTGGAAAGAGAACGTCAGCCAGTGTTTGGTTTAAAACTTGTAAATTCTCTTCCGTGTCCTTAATTTGAAATTTAAAATCATTTCTGCACTTGGATAGCATGTCTTCACATTCACTCCTGATAGATTCTTTCTCCATCTCCAAAGCAATAGTGAGATTGTTAATCTTGCTGTCTTGGATGTGCAAATCATCAAACATTTGCAGCATCATCAAACCCTGCTTCTTTATATTCTCTTGTAGAGCAGACATGTGCTTAGTGACATTACTGCTAACTGATTCAGCAGTTGGAACACCCCTCTGATCTGATACTCGTTCAGTTGATAAAAGCTGCTCGTGAACTTCCTTCATTTTAGAAAGAGTCTTGTTGAGGGATTCATAATACAAAATGCTCCGTGAATGTTCCTGTTCTAAAGCACCTTCTAAATGAGCTTGCTTTGCTTCTAGTTCTTTAATAGGCTTTTCACATGTAAAGGTCATTTCTTGCCTTATATTCACAATGTGATTTTTTAGATCTAGTACATCAGTCAAAGTGGGCCTGTTTTCTTGCATTAAAACAGATTTTTGCTGGACTGCTATTGAAACCACAGATTCATTAACTTGATGAATTGTTTGTCTGGTGTTTTCAAGGTCCTCTGATAAGCTTGATACAGTCTTGAAGAGTTGTGCTATAGTCTCTTGCATGTCATTCTGAAAAATTTTAAATTGCTCTCTTACTATGTTCTTTACCAGATCATTAATGCTTTTGGATTTTAGACCTAGAGAAGGAAATATTAAACAACAATAAATGACATATGATTTTAATTATGTAAACTTTAGATATCTCTAAAAAGATAAAAAGTTTGAGACTAAGCACTAATAACCCATAGTAATAAAAATACTTCTTCACTACACTTACTTATGGAATTTTAAAAATCACTATAGTTCATAGAAGGTGATTACATTCTTAACTGATAAGTCTGAGGGGAGAAATCAATTGTGGTGAAGAACATACCAAAAGCATAAACAAAAGACATGAAGGAACTGATACTGACTTCAGTTAATAGAGCCTCGTATGTTATGATTCTAAGTCTACTCTTACTCTGGTATGAAAAAAAATGGCCTTGGGCTTTCCAGCTCAGTAAATAATACCTGGTATTATCTCATGACTATGTTATTAGGTTGCTAGTAATTAGGTTTCAGGGCTTGTGTTTTGAGCTCATAAAAACTAACAAACTGATGGCAAAGAAGAAATTTAATGAGATTCCCAAATGAGGAACAATATAAAGTAATGGTCACAAGATTCAACAATAGTTTATGTCAACAGTAAAATAATAATGAGAGGTTTGGGGATCACAAAACAAAGTCAAATGAAAATAGGAATTCAAGATATACCTTGATTATCATAATATGACATTAATTCTTAACAAAAATAAGAGGAAACTTGCCACTAATGAAACACACATTAGTATTTCCAGTATTAGAAAGCATGGACTGATCATAAATCAGAATTATGGACAGCTCTAAAAGTAACATAAAAAAATTTAAAAAAGGAAAAGGGTCCTGAAGTACTCAAAACTCAGAACTATTCTGAAGAGGAAATTAGTATTTAAAAATGGAAAAAAACAACCCACCAAACCTGTTACATACAAAAATAGAAAATGGGAAAAAATAAAACATACGCTTGAGGTGTATTTATAGTACGTAGCTATGAAGCACATGTAAATGGAAGATAACTCCACTCAAATCCAAACGGTAATGTTTGTAATGTAAAATACTGGCAACATACTACAAAGCATGTAGAACAGGAAGGTCTGCACAACTGTGATGTGACTTCTGGCTGTCATAAAGTCTATTTAAGAAAGATAATTGTAGAATAAAAATATAGGGTCTCTACATGTCTCTATTTTGTATGCAAGTTTTAAAAGGTATCTGAGATGCATGAGAGATTTACATAAAAAGTATGTGAAAGATCAATTATAGCAAACAGTGATGTATTGCTTAAGCATCTTGATATTAATCTGATACAAAGACAAAGCTGTAAATGTTGTTTACATGAATAAATATTTCCCTGGAAATCCTATACCCTACCGGTCAATATTGCTAATTGATCTTTAGGGAATAGCATTTCCAGAGTAAAAAAAAAGAAAAAGTTTACATTTCTAAACATAGTGAAAACTGAAATACATTTAACAGGCCAAAAAATATAAGTAAGTGAAAATCAGTCTGTATGTAATGGAAAAAATAATAGTAAAATGTAAAGTAAATAGTAAAAATGTAAAGTATGGGAAGAGTAAACAATGACACAGCACCAAAGTACTAAGGAAAGGCTAAATTAATTAGAAAAGTTTAAGCAATCGCAATTAAGATAAATTATACTGAAACAGTCCTGGCTTTTATATGTAATAGCATGAGTAATTGCACCACAGGCTTTTAAAGTATTCTTATTTTCTAAATTTTACTTAGCATTTAACCGGTTACCCATTTGCACAACAAATCTTCATTGAGTGTATTTTATATGCTACACAAAAGGTAAAATTTGGAAAATCAGATTTCTGATACTAAAAATAGAATATGTTAGCTTCACTGGGTGTAAGTTGCTACTCAATAGCAAAGTTATTTTTATTATACTTCCCACAAGATCATTTAGTCATTTCATGTTAGTTAAAATGGTCTTAAATTTTCACAACTTGATGAAATACAATAAAATATTTAAGTTTAGGGATCAGACCTTCTTGAAATTTATATCATTTTGGCCTTAAAGTGTTTTTCAAGATTCAACAGGTAAAATAAAATTTAAGTGTAATTGAATTAATTAATTGTGGATAATAACAACAGCTGTTTAAATTCAGCCAACAAAAAATTATGTGATCTGGGGCACCTGGATGGCTCAGGCAATTAAGTGTCTGACTCTTAGTTTTGGCTCAGGTTGTGATCTCAGCCCAGTGTTGGGCTCTGTGGTCAGCACAGAGTCGGATTGAAATTCTTTCTCCCTCTCCCTCTGCCCCTTACCCCCCACTTGTGCTTGAGCAAGCATGTGCTAAAAAGGTAAATAAATAAATAAATAAATAAATAAATAAATAAATAAATAAATAAATAAATAAAATTTTTAAAGGAAAAAAACATGTGATCTGAAAATCAGAATAAGAATGATAGGTAAAAACACTGTAAATAGGTAAAGTGTAGTTCAGAGTCTGATCAAAGCAACTAGGAAAAGAAATAAACAGTGAAAATGGAAACTAGGAGGTGCTTTAGCTATTATATATATTTTTTAATTAAGATTTTATTTATTTGAGAGAGAGAGGGAGTGCGCATGAGCAGGTGGGGGAGGGGGGGGGAGAAGCAGGCTTGCCGCTGAGCAGGGAGCCCAACACGGGACTCAATCCCAGGACCCTGGGATCATGACCTGAGCTGAAGGCAGACGCTTAACGACTGAACCACCCAGGCGCCCCTATATTTTAAATCTTTAATGGAAAAATATACTGGGGAAAGGCTAAAATCACAGCAGCGCCAGAAAAGAAATCAAACAGACTAAGCTTTAAGAAATTATTGTTTCTGGAAAAGGAGCTTTTCAGATAACATTTCCATAATTTGTTGCTAAAAAATTTTCTGCGTAAGAATCTGATTTTGCAAAAATATGTCAAAGTGCTTTATGTCAATATCTGAGTGGGAACATACTTTTTAACTCTATTTGATTCTGTTTCATGTGACTCATGTGCTTCTACTTCCTGAAAAAGAGGACACTGTGGTGACTTAACAGACAGGTATGAGATCAGATATGCTGGCGGGCCCCTCTGTGGTTGTGAATGTAGGTGCCTCCTAAGGAATTGGGACATTTGATGTTGAACAGTTTCTGTGGCTACCAGTGGATAAGCCGTGTTCCTCATCCTGGATGTAGAGTAAGCAAGCAAAGAGGTGGTGGTTTTGTTAGGCAAGTGCAGTGCCGTGGGGTGAGTTTAGTTTTTGTTACCTGAATGAATATTCATTAACTACAAGCTCTCTGGTTTTCATAATTGATTATGCTTAGCACACAACTAATACCTCCTAATGAGGGGAGAATTTTGTTGTTGCTGTTGTTGTTATGAGTGTATGCTTTTTTCCTGTGTCACTGCCAGAATCTTCGCTAGTAGTTTCATAAAAAGCTGTTGACAGGCCTAATTCTCTCTAATTGTCTTTGGTACTGATAACCAAATTCTGCCAAACAAATTTCATTATGGTAGTTATAGTCAATTATATACTGTTTCTATTTGACTTCTTTCTCATGTTATCACTTCAGGGAAAATATATTCCTTTCTCATGCTTGTCATTGGTAAGTTTGGCCATAGGGGACATGCCAGAAATGTAGAACAGGGTCTTTCCTTCAGGGGCTTAACAGCACCAATTATTTACATAATTAAAAAAACATCATGGTTGCTGCCATACTGGTAGATGATATGGAAACCTCCACCTTATCTTTTACCTGCGAACCACAGGTGGAAAACAAGGAAAAAAACAACATGACAGATACAGGGTTATACAATAAGTATACTTTTATGTATAAAACAAAGTGGAAGGGACCCTAATCCTGAAATTTGGAAACATACAATAAACCCGGAGAACTGAGATATTCCTAGTGACCAAATTACTTGCTAGAAAATCCATGTCCTCCTTGAAACCCCTTTGCCTAATTAATTCCTCCTGATCCATAGCATATTAGTTGAGACGGTTTCTTTTTGTAGAGGTCTTCCCTGGCGCCCTTAGATTGGATTTGTTGAAACTACCAAATGGTCCTACTGTACCCTGTGCATAACACTACCATAGCAATTGCTCACTATCTACAGATCCGTGTGGTAGGCAGAATAATGCTGTTCCACTCAAGATGTCCACACCCTAATTTCCTGAACCTGTGAATATGTTACCTCGCCTGGCAAAAGGGCCTTGGCAGATGTGATTAAGGTTAAAGACTTTAAGATGAGAAGATCATCCGGGATTATTCAGGTCTATCCAATGTAATCACTGAGCCCTTAGAAGAGGAAAAGGAAGGTAGAAGAGTGGGTTTGAGACATGCCATGAGGACTCAACAGTGTTGCTGGTTTACGAAGATGGAGGAAAAAGGCCATGAGCCAAGAAATGCAGTGGCCTCTCTAGAAGCTGGAAAAAGCCTCAGTTTATAGCTATCAAAAAAATAGGACCTCAGTCCCCAACTGCAAGAAAATGATTTTTGACAACAATTGGAATTAATAGGAAATGGATTATCCTGTAAAACCTCCAGAAAGGAACACAGCCTGCTGTTTTAAGAGCACAAAAGTTGGGCAAAGCTGATTCACATTTATAAAGAAATCATTATTTCTGTTACCTGAGATGTTTTAGGATGTATTTTATTGATTAAACTCCATAAGCTAGATAATTTCTGGGGTAACAACACACTTTAGATTTATCCTCAATATATTCATCAATATTATTGAGACAACCATATATTTGTGCCTTGATAATCCTTTCTTAACCTCATCTTTATCTTGAACTGGAAACCACAATGGAAGTAAACTAAGTATGGCTCATTTTAACTATAAAGAAATACAAGTTAAGCTGTAACTAGTACTTAATGAAAATAAATCAGATGAAATATTGAGTAAAAGATCTGACTATACAGTAAAAAAAGTATTTAGATGCTTCAAATTATTCCAGAGATTGATTTACAAATATCTTACTCCAAAACTATAGTCTTAGACTTTTATACCACCCAATCTAAAGCAAAGATTCCAAAATGATATGAGAAAAGATAAATGAGTCATTTACCTTTTGTCTTAACTGAGTGACTATTTCACTTTACTTTTACCTTTTAGAAAAGATTGAAATTCTCTGTCTTTATCTTCACTGATTTTCCCTTCTAGGGAGGAGTACGTGTTCCTTACATCACTCACAGCCAAAGAAATATTGTCAATCTTCTTCTGGAGAAGGGTCAGTTTCATTGCCTGGTAGTTCATCTGCTCGGTCATCTTTTGTGTCACTGCTGCATGGAAAAGAAAAGAATATGTATATTCTTATATATATATACATATACATACATATATAATACTATTCAAATATCATTATTGAAATATCATGGTAGGTTTAAAGGTAATTCAAATAAATCTTGTTTGTACTACATATTTGAAAATATAGACTACTGTAAATGCACTTAGCAAATGGCAGCCTGAATTTTACCCTAAGGGTGAAAATTTATAATATATAAATATATAACATATAAATGTAAAATACATATATATATACATTTATATATATTAGATTTCTAAAATGTTTTAACTTTGCCCAGAATCTTGTCTTTTTTTTTTAACTTCAAAGAGTTATTGTTACATTCTTAAAAGATGAAGAAACTGAGGGACAGAAAACCAAAGTATTACTGGTTTGCGGTTGCAGAGCTAATACCTCATCTTCTGCTTTCAAATCCGACGTCACAGAATTAAATATGTGTTGCTCTGTATATGTGTGTAGTCATATCTATAGTCAGGATTTTATTCTTTACTGAGGTGTTCTTTAATGAGTGATAAAGATTCAGATTTAGTCGGAATCATTTAACATAGCAATGATACTTCCCATGCTTTTTCACACACATTTCAGTAATTCAAGGAGGATTTTATAGTATTTTATGAAGATACTGAATTCCAATCCCTTTTTTAAAAAAAAAGTACAGTTTCTATGATATATTCACCTTTATTTCCCCTAAGTCCCATTTCTCAATTTGAGTGCCCTATTTAGTATGACTAGATCTGTGGCAAGCACACAGAGATGTTTTCATTAGTAACCAACCTTATGTTTCTAAGAAATAAAGTCAGGCCTAAAAGAAATGGTAAAATACTTATGATTAGAAGGATGAGAAACTATGTGGCTTGCCAACTTTGGATCAACATGAAGTTCTTGTTGATTCTAAGTCACAATTCTTTTCCCTAGTCAGTGATCCACATCCTTGGCGATCTCTTATCGACCAGTCGAAGGGAGCTTTCTTAGCTCCTTCAGATGATGACGTCATTCCTTCCGCCTCAAGATTCTTCCACGATTTCAGGCTTTGGAGGACAAGAGTTTGACCTTACTTTGGACACCTGTGATTTCCTTACAACTAGTGTAACAGCGTTTTTAATCGTCTCCTGTGTTTGCACACAGAGCTTCAAAATTATGTGTGGTCCCTCCAGGCTGGGAACCTACGGGTCCTCCACAGTTTCTCCTAACATGGGGCACCAATAGAAAAAGACTGAGGGGTATGCTAATGTGTCACCACCAAACATTTGACAGCCAAGTGATTTCTTGTTTGGAAGTTGAGAGTGTTGACAATAACTGGGTTAGGGATGTTAGCAGTTACGCCCTGTGACCTGCGTCACCACAGTCTCGCTGCAGCTGCTGCGGCCCCTCCTCCGCGGTCTCTGCGCCGCCGGCGGTGTGACTCTCAGCCTGCTTGCTGTGCATCAAGGGCGGCTGCTCCTGGGCTAGACGGACCCAAAAAAAGAAGAGAGAGAGTTAAGCACTGGGACTGCCTCATTTCTTCCAGTCCTTCAGGGATGGGGCTGCCATTCATTTTCCCGTGTCCAGAAGCACCGTGCTCTGCGATGATTGCCAAGATTGCGGAGGGAGCTAGCTGCTCCGCCCCCAGCCGGAGGGGGCCACGTGCTACCGCGTGGGGTTGGAAGCGCAGGACTCTAGCTCCGTTTGGGAAAAATAAAATTATTCAGGTCTCCTTTTAGGCGAAAATGGATGGTAGTTTGTGGCAGCTGGGCCAACTGGAGGGCGTACGCTGCCTGCCTAATCGAGGGGACTTTCAAATCGGCTGTGTTAAAGGCAATCGTGGCTTTAGAAGTGGACTGTGACAAAGGCTGCTTGTTTAACAGTGCAATTTCCAACTGGTGTCTCCTTGGAAATAAGGGAGAGCTACAGGTACCTGACTGAAAGAATACCTGTTTAAGTAAATGGGTTGTTCCCAGAGTTTTAGGGAATACGTAGACTCAAAACATAAGGACTACCGGTAAAAGTAAACTATTACATGGCAAGTCTTAAGGGGATCAACTGGTAAAATCAGGAAAATTTCAGAAAAACAAATTCTTATAAAATAAGTCTACTCTGTTAAAGAATTGATGCCCCTTTCCCATGAATCAAGTAATATTTTAGATGGAAATATAGTTTTTCATTGGAGAAAAGAATTTAGAGTGACACTTTATTAAAAATATTGAACACGTCAAGTAAGGTAGGCCTGTAATTTGTAGACTTTTAATAAACAAATGTATTCATTGATGTCTGCATATCAGACATGAGAAAACAAGTGTTTGGTGTCTAACTGTGCTTCTTCCCATGTGAAATTATGTACCAATGAAACTCTCCCTCTGGCCCATGTTAATTATGCTCCCTGAGGAATATGTGACTGTGACACTAATACTAAAGGATCTCTACTCCGTAGAAAGAATCATATATTTGGTATTAATGTGAGTTAGTCTATATTGTTAGATTGAATTTTGCGTTGCTTTTCTTCAGGGCATTGAGCTAAGCTAATGAATTTCCATTCATGTTCAAGGTTTTTGTTTTGATATTGTTTCTTTTTTTCTCTCCACTTATAGAAAGTTCTGTATAATTGTTAATTTATTTGGAAGAAAACAATCTGCAGTTTGGGGAAATTATACTTATTTCGGGGCTGCATTTGTGGCAAAAAGTTAATTTTCTCTTAGGTCCTAGCAATAAGGTTCCTTCAGCCTAAATTGAAATTAATTCATATAAATGTATCTATTAAATAATTGCATAGATTTTTATCAAGTTTCCTCTTTAGATGATGTAGAAAGCATTTTTTCTAGCAGCTAAAATCTAAGCCTACCCAAGAGAGTAACTAAAAAGTGAAGTGATGGTTCTCAAACCAGGGTTCCTAGATCAGCAGTATTAGCATCACCTGGAAACTTTCTTTTATGTGTAGTTGTCTTTTTTTTTTCCACCTGCAAACTTTTGAAAATACAACTTCTAGACCCCATCCCAGACCTGCTTGCTTATTTATTTATTTATTTATTTATTTATTTATTTATTTTAAAGATTTTATTTATTTATTTGAGAGAGAGAAAATGAGAGATAGAGAGCATGAGAGGGAAGAGGGTCAGAGGGAGAAGCAGACTCCCTGCGGAGCAGGAGCCCGATATGGGACTCGATCCCGGGACTCCAGGATCATGACCTGAGCCGAAGGCAGTCGCTTAACCAACTGAGCCACCCAGGCGCCCCAGACCTGCTTATTTAAAAAAGTCTGGAGTGGGGCAGTAATTTGTGTTTTAACAAGCTCTGCTGCTGTTTCCAGTGCACACTGAAGTTTGAGAACCACTGGAGTAAAGCATCAAAATAAATCTTCCTTAGCAACTGCCTACCTCACTGCCTTCCCTATTTCTCTTAGCAGTGGAAGAGGGTTCAGGATATGTGCAAGTATTTATAGCAAAAGGGACATGTGGCTTCAACAGGATGAACAAATGATCTTTACATTTTCTTACTGCTTACCTTTTTGATCAAATCACAGGAAAACAAAACCAAAAAATCATAGGAAAACAAAAAGAGCTGGTGCATTTAAAAGCATTTCCATAACACAGTAGGCAGAGGGTACTTTATTAGGAAGCAATGCACGATTATAGTGAAAAGAAAGATACCGTTTTATGCCCTACAAACAAGTGACAATTCCAATTTCCTTTTCTATATGTTATTAACTTGTAACACATTATTTTTTTTTCCGACCTCTTTAGAATAGTGATATTTTCACCATGGATGGAAAACAAAAGCACCTGTAAATTCTGAAACACTAAAAGTGTCATTGTTCTTTCCATTATACCACCCGGAGATTCCGATTCAGAAGATCTGTTCTGGGAATTGAGCGTGTGTGTGTGTGTGTGTGTGTGTGTATGTATTTATATATTTTATATATTTTATATTATATACATATAATTTTAAGCTCTACAAGTGATTTTTGATGTATGACCTTGGTTAAGAGGTACTGATTTAGGGGCGCCTGGGTGGCTCAGTTGGTTAAGCGGCTGCCTTCGGCTTAGGTCATGATCCCGGGGTCCTGGGATCGAGCCCCGCACCGGGCTCCCTGCTCAGCGGGAAGCCTGCTTCTCCCTTCTCCCACTCCCCCTGCTTGTGTTCCCTCTCTCCTGTCTCTCTCTCTGTCAAAGAAATAAATAAAATCTTAAAAAAAAAGAAGTACTGATTTAGAAAAAATTGCAAAAAATTCTAATGTTTCATTGTTACAAGGCAGAAAATTCCAGATATTTTCATATTAAAATTTTAATGCAGAAATTGATCTTCATAGACTTTTAAACAACCACACTTGCCTGTTGATAATGAGAACATATGTTAAAGACATGATCTATTTAAACTCTAATAAGTGACAACCTTGAGTCTCCTATCATTCTATAGAGAAGTGGGCCTTTATAAGGAGGAGGTAATATGGTAAACACTATTAAAGAATTTATAATAAATTATTAAAAACACTGGAAAAGAGACAAAAGTTTAAATTTTAGAAGCACTTTCTTATGATTGTGATTTTTTTGAAAAGAGAAAAACCATAGAAATTTTGTCAATAATAGAGATACCTAGGTGGCTCAGTCGGGTAAGCACCCGACTCTTGATTTCAGTTCAGATCAAGATCGCAGGGTCGTGAGATGGAGCCCTGCATCTAGCTTTGCCCTGAACTTGGAGCCTGCTTAAGATTCTCTCTCTCCTTCTCCCTCTGCCCCTTCCCCACCTCTCTCTCTAAAAAAAAAAAATCATTCTGGAACATCTTTTGATTTGAAAACATCAAATTGATAACAAAATCAATTAAATGTAAAACAATGTATGTTTCTGGAATGAAAATCAATTTGATTTTATTTTCAATAAAAATTAGTGGATTTTTACATGTTATATAAATGTTTGACTCAAATAATATTCTAAGCTTTTGTCATTTAAAAATAAAATTACTAGATTTATTTTTCATAATGACAATCATTTTCTGTTAAAGCTCATTTTCAATCAAGAGGAAAATATTAAAGAACTTTATGAAATTAGTCTCATGAAATAAGCTTTTGAAATAAAAATGTTCAAGTAAAGCAAAATTTTTGAAATAATAAAAATCCACAAATACTTCATCCAATAGTGTTAATAAAAAAATCAATAAAGAAAGGAAAATGTTTAGGAAATAAAATTAGAATTTTAACATTATATAATTTAAATAATAGATCATTTTTAGAAAAGAAAATATTATAGGACTTACCTAATATAATTCCTATATAGGTGTATCGTTACTAATGTTTTATGTTTAGCATTTGGCAAACAAACCTTGTTTTAAAAAAGTGGAGAATTGCTTTTCAGAAACGACTTTTTTTTTAAGATTTTATTTATTCATTTATTTATTTGAGAGAGAGAGCACAAGTGGGGGTGGGGGAGGAGCAGAGGGAGAGGGAGAGAGAGAACCTCAGGCAGACTCCATGCTGAGCAGGTTCGGGTCTCGATCTCACAACCCCAAGATCATGACCTGAGCTGAAATCAAGAGTCAGATGCTTAGCCAACTGAGCCACCAAGGCACCCCCAGAAATGACATTCTAATAGAGATGTCAATTCATTTTTAACTATAGGGGAAAAAATAGTCACCTTGTTAAACTGGAGATAATTTGAAAACTGAAAGGCATTTCAGATATGAAGAATGTGTATATTTCATATGAAACAAAAATTAAGCAATCAATTATATGAGAAAACATCAATTTTTCTAATTCTATGAAAATAATATTTATATGACAAAACTAAAAAATATAATAAATGTTTACATTCCTTGATCTATGGTGCCACAAATTTGGCCAAATGACGTTTGCAAAACTCTATGAATTTATTAAATAGGACATTCCTACAATTTTCATGATTTAGCTAGTAATAAATATATTGAATATTTAAAAATGCACATAGTGCTTAAGGGCTGGAAAAAATTTGAATGCTGTCATTGTTAATTCAGTAAAGACTAATAGATAATTCAGCAGGATGGCACTATCATTTCTGTTAATAGAAATGATCAATTTGCCAAGTCTTGGTATCACCCATTGACTCTATATCTGATGGAGAATTCTTTAAAGGAAGTTGAGACAGTAACCTACATTAAATCATCTGTGTGACAGAGACATCATTTAGCTGGAATCAACCATGTCAAAAAAAAAAGCCATGCCAAAAAGTTTTAGAAATTAGTAATTATTTAGAAATTACCAGAATAATAAGATGAATGGTTTGTGTTATGGTTTCTATTACCTAATATGTTTTATAATATATTTTTATTTATAAATACATACTTACAAGTATTCAATTAAATTATTAAATATAACCATTAAATATTCAATTATTTAAGTAATCACAATATTTATATTTATGAAATATAGTTATACACAGAAAATATATGCATTAACTTAAAAGTAATACATTGTTAACCTTTGATTTTTATATTGATTTACATATT